ACAGTTATTTTAAATTGTAATATTGTTCACAATATTGCTGTTTTTACTGTATTTTTGATAAAATAAACGCAGCCATGATGAGAATAAGAGACTATTTTCAAAAACATTAAAATATTTTTTAACAACCCCAAACTTTTGAATGGTAGTGTAGATATATATTAAACTAAATAAATAAATTAACAGGTCTTGACTTTATTTTGTCTAGATTTATTGACAGACATTTAAGAAAACATTGCTTTTCTTCAGGTCATCTCTGCCAGAAAGGGCGAGTTTGAGACCGGTTTTGAAAAGGGAGGTCAGACAAGGGAGCATGCCATGCTGGCCAAAACAGCTGGAGTCAAACATCTGATAGTCCTCATCAACAAAATGGACGATCCCACTGTGAACTGGAGTTTGGATAGGTGAATAAAGTAGATTTCTAACGTTTTTATTCTTGTATCTTGTCCTTATTTTACCAATTAGTACACATTTTCCCACAGATATGAGGAATGTAAAGAGAAGTTAGTGCCATTTCTAAAGAAGGTGGGCTTTAATCCAAAGAAAGACATTCACTTCATGCCCTGCTCTGGAATGACTGGAGCCAACCTGAAAGAATCTTCCGAGCTGTGCCCTTGGTACACGTAAGTACTGTATAGCATGTCATTTTTCAGGCTAGCGTGAATATATGAAGGTGAAAGTGACAATTGGCAATTTATTTAAACTCTGAACTTGTATAGGGGATTACCGTTCATTCCACATCTGGACAGCATGCCAAACTTCAACAGATCAAGTGATGGTCCCATCCGATTGGCTATTGTGGATAAATACAAGGTAAATGAAAGATGGTATTGTTATCTTGACATTTGATGTCAGGTTTAATGACTTTGTAATGCTGACAGATGCTAGAACAGTTAAACGCAATCTCACTAAGTACATTTGCATAAGCCACATGCTCCTCAAAACCGCATCTGTTGCTCTGAAATAATATGCTGAGTGTCTGTCAAGAGTGTCTTACTGCTCCAAATACTGCTATTGTCTCAGTTTCTGCTGATGATTTCCAATTATTTTAATACCACAGCATGAGGGAGTGTTTTGGCAGGAAACTATCTAGTATAATGGAAGAAGGAAACTGTTTTCTCAGCGGTTCTTTTCCCATTGAAACTACATGTGTGAGGTATTATGAAACCAATAAGCTAAACTAGGTCCTGTGTTCAGCACATGTAATGAGATTAAGTTCATTAAGTTATTTAAAGCCTTGTTTAGATGCCTTGCTAGAGCTGGGAGTTACCATCAGATTGAAGTGTCAGTAATTAGAGAGAAAGTTCTTCAAATAAGCTTTTGACACCCAAAAAGATTGTTCCCCCCCCCCAACTTTGATAGCTACATTTTTTTTTTTAAATGTACCAATGTTAAAAATAATACGCACCATTATTAAAATTCTGACTGATAAACCAACACACTCTTAAGGTAGTTTGTAACTTGTTTTACATTTCAAAGTCGTCATAGTTGGCTAAACTTCTATGATGGTGAACACAAAGTACAACAAATATAATTTCTGCATTCCCATTGGCCCCAATAGTAAAAGTAGTTTCTGTGATTTAATGCTAAGGTAAGAAAACACAAAGTATAGTGTTATAAATGTACATTGCATTTTTATAATTAAATATGTAAAAAAAAAAAAAAGTATATTCCTAAGCTTATTCCTAAATATTTTACGCTTTTTTTTACAAAGTAAATTGTACAAATTCATACAAATTCAAAATGTAAAATGTAAAATAGTTACATTCTGTCATGAGATACTGGTTAGTATTAAAATTCTATACTATTTGTCTAAATGAAAAAAATTTTGAAATGCTACAAGTGAATTTAGGCATCACAACAGTAAAATTTATAGTAAAATAATGATGAACTTCAAGTGAGTGTTAAATGATGGCAAAGGTGCAAGCAAAATTAATATTGCCCTATACTGATCAATTTAAAAAAACCTCTAACATCGGCAGATAGAGTCCATAATGCTCCTTTATAATCTTTTGTGTAGGACATGGGCACCGTGGTGCTTGGAAAACTGGAATCTGGAAGTATCATGAAAGCACAACAACTTATTATGATGCCAAATAGGGTAAGACTGTACCAAACAATAGTATGTACAAATACAGTTTGTTGTTATCACAACCATCATGAATCTTAGCCATTATCTTGCATTTTCACATTCAATGTCTGAAACGTTGTTTGTTCTGATTTCCCAGCACACTGTGGAAGTGTTGAGCCTTCTCTCTGATGATGTGGAGACGGACTACGCTGGACCTGGTGAAAACCTGAAGCTCCGGCTCAAAGGCATTGAGGAGGAAGAGATTCTCCCAGGCTTTATCCTATGCAATGCTGAGAACCTCTGCCACTCAGGGCGCACTTTTGATGCCCAGGTAAGGATTTCAACACTGGGAGAATATTTTGTTTAGTTATTTCATTTAGTCATTTTTTAAGCATGACCTAATGGCTTTTTTCTTCGTTCTTGTTCACAGATTGTCATTATTGAGCACAAATCCATTATATGCCCAGGTTACAATGCAGTACTACACATCCATACCTGCATAGAAGAAGTGCAGATAACAGTAAGTTATTTTGTGTGCACTCCTAAAACATTCAGACATAAAAGGTGTTAAAACAGATCTCAATGGTTTGGTAGCCTAAAATATTGAACTGTCATGTTCCTAAAAACCTCCACAATTAGGCGTTAATCTGTCTGGTGGACAAGAAGACAGGAGAGAAGAGCAAGACTCGTCCACGCTTCGTCAAACAAGACCAAGTATGCATCGCCCGTCTTAGGGCCACAGGAACGATCTGCTTAGAGACTTTTAAAGACTTCCCTCAGATGGGACGTTTCACCTTAAGAGATGAGGGTAAGATATTAGGAAAATCTAATATGATAATTCAAATATCAAATTTTCAGAAGTCCAATGATAGATTTAATATTCTATCTAAATACTAAAATTTAAGATGTTTTATGTTATTTTTTAGGTAAGACAATCGCAATTGGCAAGGTGCTGAAGTTGGTACCTGAGAAGGACTAAATGCAGATAGAAGGACTTCCCTGGTGCACTCTGGGATTGAGGAGGATGCAGTGATCCCACTGTGGATCAGTCTAAGAAAATTACTTTGGAAAAAGGACATTATCAAAGTGACAGTATCAATTTTAGGAAGAACATTAATATAGAAAGACAAGTTCAGTGTGACAGCTTTCTCATATTGAGAGCTCAGCTATGCCACTCATGTAGCCCAATTGTTAAAGCCAGATTCTCTCCACTGGTACATAATCTTAAAATGGATGCAATTTTCTTTTAAGCTGTCGGCTTTTTAATTTTATGTTAAAATATGAGAGGGAGTCTTGGTGTCATCTCTTTGAAAGGTTAATGCCATTACTGTGTGCCCCATTCAAACATAACACTCAGATCATTTCCCCTTATAAGAATGCAGGGTCTCTGATTGCATATCACTTTACAATAGCATCATCTGGGCAGTTAGAGACTGCTGACTGTTTCGTTATGGCATGAAAGGGGTCCATACAGGGTCTAAGCTTGCCAGTACCCTTGCTCTTTACCTGGCAAGTCCTGCAAGAGTCATAATTGTCAAGATCAGGTCGTAAAAGAGGCCTTGGTCCTTCAAATAAAATGACACTTATTTAGAGATGTAATAATGCAAAAGATGAACAGATGAATCTGTTTACTGTGATGTCATTACATAACAAATGACAGATGCACCCATGTGGTTAAAAAAACAAACAAACTTGTCATATCAGCTGGTGTAAATTATGTACACTCTTGTTGGGGATGTAAACATCAAACTTCCTACAAATAAAACACTAAAATGACTTCAAATGAAAATGGATGTTTGCTCTTAGCTGTTTTTGTGTTTAATGCCCTGGAACTTGCACTGCATTTTAGTAATTCTAGCTGGAAGGCCAAATGGGCATGATTAAGGCAGAGAATAATGCAACACCGTATTATTAATAATGCTACTTCATTTAATTTATTAAGTTGTGCTTACACTTACTTTGAGACCATTTTAAATTTGATATATTTGTATATTTATAAACGTCCGCAAGAAATGAAAACGCTGGTCTCTATTCATTTGAATAAATAATATATGATCATTTTATATTTATTCTAATAAATATTTGGTGAATATTAGAAAATAATATAATAATAAAAGTATGATATTAAATCAGAATTTGTATAACTTTATTATATTTAAACGCTGCAGATAAATTAAATAATGTTACCTAATTCATGCAGCATAGATCTTTTTCACACTTCGGCGTTCGAAAAGCAGAAGCTTCGAATAGTGTAAAATTCCGCTGTAACCTGTATGAATGCCAACGCCCATAGCACGGGATTGTTGTGATTTACAGTACTAATGTACAATTCATCACAGACGTTTAATCAAACCCACAGTTTACAATCATATTTCATGATTTAAATGGGAGTGCACAAGCCATGCTGTTTATGTATGCACAATACTCCATAGTCAGACCAGCTTTTTATTAAAGAAATGCAATAATAGCATACAAACAACATCACATTAAAGAGCAATAAGGTTATATATATCATAAAAAAATTAAACACGAGTTAAGACTATACAAATGAAACAATAATAATGTTAGCATTGCTTTCATGCACTTACTATACTTTATTCTTATTACTGTTTACTGTAATTACCCAATAATGTTGGAGATCCTACAGTTACACAGGCAAGGCTGACAATCGCCTCGCTTACATAATGTTTCACGTTAAAATGGAAGATTATACATTTGGTAGGCTACCGTCTAAGGCTAAATAGACCGTTTGAAATACCGATGTTTACTGTCAAGTTCAACAAAGTTAGTTTAATTTTCTTGACAAAATTGGCTACAGACGATTTATACAGGCGGAAAGTCTTTTACGCTACTAATCGAAGCCGGATGTGACGACACGCGGATCGTTCCCTAATCTCTTTTCAAAATAAAAGTGCTTGTGACGTTTACTTCGGAAATGCGCATGCGCTTTTATGCTTTCTCAACACACGTAGTGATGGGAAGTTCGGTTCTTTTCCGCGAACCGGTTCTTTCGGACAGTTCGATTCAATAAACCGGTTGAAAAAAACGGTTCACCGGTTCTTTTACGCTCGACGTAATGACGCCATTGGCGATGACGTAATGGCGTTGAATCTATCGCGGGCTTAACACATTCAAATATAAAGTCAGTAATCATAACATCAGTCAATTAAAACATCATTATAATCTGATACGTTTCTTACAATTTGGATTTTTGTATCTAAAGCATCAACACATACACTGGTTCAACCGGTTCACTAAGAAGAACCGGTTAAATCGAACAATTGGTTCGCGAACCGGACATCACTAAACACACGTGTAGCATGGACTCCACACGACATGAATTAGATCTCGATCGGTCTCAGGTAAACTAGAAATATTTGATAGTTTTACCCTTACATGTTTGTTAAGTTGTAATAATTTTATTATATGTTTGTATATTTACGTTTGGGTGGGAACCTTGTAAAAATCTAGTAACAAACCAGGCTGCATGTTGGCTAACTGCTGTAGTGCCCAAGTTTCGAAGTAGTTAAATGAAACATATGTTATCTTTGCTTTTATTATTTGTTTTATGTATGTGCCTGATGTAGTATTAGTCATGATTTTGGTTGCTGTCTTTGTAAAATGTTCTATGGCTGTTTCTGAGTTTGGGTATTAAAGCCAACTTACTGCAGTTTAAAAGCCATTAATTTAGTTAATAACACGTATTACAGGTAAAGAAAGCTGTACAGGCATTACGGGCATATATAAAGAGCAGCTCCACATCCCAAAAGCTCTTCGAGAATGATGGTCAGACCATCTCTCTACTGTTAACTCAATGGAAAATCCCTAAAAAGGAGCAAACCATTCGCATGTAAGTGTTTCAATGGGAAATTAATCTAGAGTCATTGATTTAGAGAAACTTAAGTTCATTAAGTATGTTATTGCTCTTACCAAGTATGTTATTGCTCTTACCAAGTGTGTTTTGCCCCACAGTCCTTTACCTCATGGGCTGAGGACAGAATCAGGAGATGTGTGTCTCTTCACCAGAGATGAACCCAAAATGACCTCCGAACAGGCAGTGAGATTCTACAAGAAGTTACTCAGAGAGAGAGGGTTCAAAAATACCATAGAGGTACCAATTCATCTGTCTAATTGTTATAAGTTTACTAGATTTATATGCACTTCAGCAAACCCTTTCCTTCTGTCTCAGTGCTGGTCATGGGTTAAAAAGTGCTAGAGTAATTCAGCGTGTATCCAGACGAGTCTCCTTTTCTATTGGAGCTTGTCTCTACAAACTTTGAAACAATCAGGTATTGTGAAATATGGTGTCATCTTATGTTTACAACACATTTTCTCTTGTTAGGTGATTCCTTTCAAGATGTTGAAAACTGAGTATAAGCCATTTGAAGGCAAAAGGAAACTGCTGGGCAACTTTGATTTGTTTCTGTCAGACGCACGCATCCGCCGCAGGTTACCCTCCCACATTGGGAAGCATTTCTATGAAAGGAAGAAGTAAGTTTGTTTCTAACTGTAAATACAGACACAAACGTTTTGGTGCAGAATAGAGATAGAAAGACACGTATAAACTAGGGCTGAAACGATTAGTCGACATTATCGACAATAAAAAAAAATTGTCAACAAATATTTTTGTTGTCAAATAGTCGTTTGATCTCATATGACCTAATGTAAGAGCCTGCAATAATGCGGTTTGACCAGTGTGGCACTCATGGATGTAATTCAAGAGAAGACACAGTGCTTCAGTTCAACGCAAACGCAGCCGAACCTGAAGCTGCTGAGCGGCGTTTGGATGAATGTGTAAATATATGCTGCGTGCTTTCATCTCAATAATGAAATAAACACAACAAAAACTGACAGCGGTGAGAAAGCAGCAGTTAAGAAATCATCTGATCACAGCGATGTGGATGTTTGCATGAGCTCTGCAGTTCGGTAAGTTACTCCAGTAAAGTCCAGTCATGTCACATTCATTTATATAGTACTTTGTACAATAGATAACGTTAGCCTTAAATCAAGCAGCTTTACAGTATTAAACATGAAAAACCAGAGACAGTGTTACTTTTAGTTCGAATTACAACTAGGGCTGTCACGATTATGAAATTTGGCTGATGATTAATTGTCTAAAAATAGTCACGATTGTTGCGATTAATTGTCTGTTTTAGGGCTTTGGTGATTATGCCGATTATCACGATTAATTGTCTGTTTTTGGCTTTCATTATATAATTGTTAATTTAAGGGTTCAGTAAATAATTATGATGTTATCTTTTAATCTTTTTTGCGTTATTATTTTGCAGTGTAAGATTACATAGAGTATTCCAAATTCTAATAATTGGCCAATATCCAACACCACCGCTATTGTTTTTTTCTACACCACTACAGAATATCAATACTGTGTTTGTGGAACTAATGGTCACTCTTTTTTAAACCATTTGTTTAACATAATCCACTAAATACTCACTTCCTCATTACAGAGAAAAACTACATTTGAATAAAAATATATAAGATATGAAATTAAACTAGCTGGCTGTATAATTTAGCAGCAAGAACAATATCTTAAAGGGGTCATATGATGCTGCTAAAAAGAACATTATTTTGTGTATTTGGTGTAATGAAATGTGTTTATGCGGTTTAAGGTTAAAAAAACACATTATTTTCCACATACTGTACATTATTGTTTCTACTCTATGCCCCGCCTTTCTGAAACGCGTCGATTTTTACAAAGCTCATCGTTCTGAAAAGCAAGGTGTGTTCTGATTGGCCAGCTGTGATTGGCCAACCGTGAGTCAGAACAGCCGGCATTGTAGTCTACCAGGATCAGGAAACAGTCCTCCATAAAATGTGCTGCACACATCTGAATATTTGGGTTGAAGTGTTCTGGAACAGTGTTGTATGCTTCAAACAGAGCAGCACAAAGCTCTTATGCACATCCAGGGTGCAAAATGGTGCACTTGAAGCATCATGGAGTCGCAGCGCTTATGCACATCTAGGGTGCAGAATGATGTGCTTGAAGCAACATGGAGTCACAGCCATAGATTGTATAAAAACATGGACGTAGTGTCCGTGACGTCACCCGTAGGTTCCTGAAGAGGTTTTTGAAGCTCAAAGTGGGCAGAGCCAGCCGCCGCCATCTTGGCAGCGCGTCACCGCGCGTCACTCCCGGATAATCGAAAATGGGCAAAAAGGCGGGAGCTGGTTAGAGTGTTTAAACCGGCAAAGCTTAATGACTATCATAGGACAACATGTTAGCAATGTGCTAATAATGCTAAAACATGTTATTCATGCTAAAAGCATGCTAGCAACATGCTACTCATGTTATTTATTTATGTATTAGAATATGTATAACTTGCAAAAGCTGAATAATCAAAGTCTACTGATTAATCAGTGAAATAATCAATGATTAATCGGTCTAATAATAGTTAGATTAATCGACTATCAAAATAATCGTTTATGCAGCCCTAGTATAAACACATATATTAAAATCTTACGTCATTTATCTTAAAGGGATAGTTCACCTAAAAATTTAAATTACCCCATGATTTACTCACCCTCAAGGCATCCTAGGTGTATATGACTTTCTTCTTTCAGATGAATTAGATTACTTTTATGCAGGCTTTTGCGGGCGGGAGCGGGACAAAACATGAATGTCGCGGGCAGGAGCGGGACCAGATAAGATATATTTCTGCGGGAGCGGGACAGAATCTTGCAGGAGCGGGCGGGAGCGGGACAGAAAAATCCGTCCCGCGCAGGTCTGTACTTCCAAGCTTTATACTGGTAATGAATGGGTGATATTCAATAGTCTAATCGAAGTCCAATAAAGTTTATCCATCCATCATAAAAAGTGTCACACATGGCACCGGGGGGTGAATAAAGGCCTCCTGAAGCGAATCGATGAGTTTTAGTTAAAAAAAATACCCATATTTAAAACTTGTATAAACCGTAATCTTTAGCTTCTTTAGCTGTTCACCAGCAAATTTTCACTGGAGCTTACACTATGCCAAACATTTTTTTAATATAGCTCCGATTGCATTCGTCTGAAAGAAGAAAGTCATATACACCTAGTATGCATTGAGGGTGAGTACTTCATGGGGTAATTTTCATTTTTGGGTGAACTATCCCTTTAAATCAACAATAATGAACATTATGCATTTATGAAAAGCATCAAGATTTAAAAATAATAATTGCACTCACCTGGAGCTTTGAAAAGTAGTACATGTAAACACAAATAATATAAATCTAAAGTTCATACATATAAAAACTGTCCAAATACATATAAAACTGTCCATGTTAAGCCTATCACTTTTTTATTTCTTAAAGGAAAACGGGTGATAAAAATGTGGTCACATTTATTGTTCTTCAGTGTTTAAAATCTGTGAAGGAATTTGAGATCTGTAATTTCATGTGAGGGCGAAAGACGCAGATTCCCCACACAGATTTTGCAGCAGGTTCAAGTTGGCCACACGGATTCGCCATGTTGACCCACAGATGGCTATTGGGTTTGAAAGAGACTTTTGTGTGAACTTCACTTCATACATCGCTACACTATTGACATTGACAATAGACAATAGTCTATTTTTTTTTTATGCCTTGTGAAATTTCGGCAATGTGATCACATCTTTACCCTTGTAGAAAAGGTGCTCTGAGACTAACCACTGAAAGTGTTTATTCGTGCAGATTTTCAGTATCTATCAGGGTTGTCAGTCATTGTTAATGACATTGATTTAAATTCTTTCTCTGTCTCAGGGCTCCTCTGTCGGTGGATCTGGAGAGTAAACATCTAGCCAGAGACATGGAGCGCCTCATTCAGGGCACCACACTCACTGTCTCAAATAAAGGCTCTTGTTGGTATGAACCTTATTTTTTTTGTTGTACAGTAGGTAGAAGCACTACAGCAAACCAATTCCTGCTCCATCACAGCTGGAAGTGGGTTAAAACAGTGCGATAGTAACTCATAGTGTATCCAGACAGGTCTCCTCATCTGTTGGAACTTGTCCCTACAAACTATGATACATGAGATTATTGTCTAAGAATTTAATGCAACCAGCCACTTTTTTTGTGTGTGAATTTATATAAATGAAGCCAGTCTTTGGTTTTGTCAGCGTTAATTGATAGTATGTTCTATTTACAGAAGGTATGTGTAATAGAGCCAACCACTGAAGGTGCTGTAGCGCTTTTGTAGTTGTTGGTTTTCTTCTTCTTCCCCAATGGGAGTCTATGGGCAGCCTTATGAACGGTAAGTAGGAAAATAATGAAAATTGGCACACATAGTGGTGGTCCTGAATAGTAATCTGACCAACATTGGGGTCTGTAGAACCAATTCCATAGCGCCATCACCAGTTCAATAATAATAATAAAATGGTTCACCAGATTACTCTACTCATAGTCTCACACAGCCAGACCTTGAGACTGATGGCAGAAACCAGTGTGCTGTGGGCATGACGTTTGAGGCTGAGACTACTCTCCTTATGGTGATCACATGCCGTAGCTTGCATGAAGACTGCCCATTACAGCGGTTTGTATAATTGTTAATATATAAATATTGTTATAAAAATATTGTTATTTTAATCCAATTAAACTAAAATATGTTTGTATTATTTAATATAATATGATAACATTATTATGTAATAAACTAATAACATTATTATGTAATAAACTAATATGTTGTCCCACTATATCTAATAAGCAGTGCTTACTCGTGTGTTTATAACAGTATCAGTTTTGTATATAAACCTTTGCAATGAAAATAATTTTAGAACATATTTATTAGTCTGGTATTGTTTTATTTGAAAGGTCTCTGAAAGATGAAACAATTGTTATGCTGTAAAAATTATTGTAATATTAACTGTAAAACTTAAAAAATGCTATGGTGAAAACTTGTTAATTGGTTAACAGTAAGTTCCCTATATATGGGGAAAAACAGTAATATACATTTAATGTAAGTTTATGCAAAAATATTGTTAAATGTACCATTTTTGTAAGTAAAAAAAGAACAAGTAATTTTATAATTTACAGTGAAAAAGTGTAAACTGACATTCCCAGATTTCCCTTGGTGACACTTCACATTTGATGGTATTTTATTTGAATAATTGTTCTTAGTAGTTTTTATTCTCAGTTATTTATATTAGGGTTTTATTTGAAAATGTATGTTGTTTAATTCATGTTTATTCCATTATTTTAGTGTCATGTTTGTTACCATGATGGTGTTTTGTATTTGTACAGATTCTACATATTAGTATTTATTTACCTCAGCTTGTGCAAAGCTACTTGTGATGAACCTGGATTCTTATTATGGTGGCTGTCAGTATGTTAAAGATATAAAACAGATTTTTAAACTGTAATATTTATGGGTTGTTTTGTAAATATGAGTACATTCCTGAAGCTGCCAGTTTTTGTTGGTAAAAACGACAGGATTTTATAATTGTTTTTACAGTGTATAGTTACATTAACAGTTAAAAATGGAAATTTGGTTGAAGAAGAGTTTTTGTCATGAGAAAATGTGACTAAAATTTAAACTGATGCCAGTGCTAAAGATAAAAGGGACATCCCCTCCTTAAGACATATTTACATATTGGGAATAATAAAATGTTGGCTGCTGTGTAAGTTCAGTGACGCCTAGCACCTCAGTGGAAGATGCTTTTCTTTATATTGCTGCTTTACATTATTATTTATGCTGAGGGAAAATGTGCAAAGAATTATTATTATGATGGACTTCTTGAGGAGTGTCAACATTGCTCCATTAGATGCAACTCCCCACCAAATATTTGCAAAACATTTTGCACCTCAAGTAAGTATTGTTTTTATATCGGATTCATAACTTTTTTCATTTAATTTAATTTTCATTTTCAAAACTAAGACTATGATAGTTGTATAAGCACAATGAATTTACTAATTTTATGTATAAATGTAATAGTTACAGTTATGGTAAGTCAACATACTCCTTGCAGAATCAGTAAGTTGCTTAGAATTAAAAAAATGATTATAATGTTTACTGCCCTGAAGAAGCTACATAACAATATTCAACATTCAATGTATAATAGAATATTTGTCAATATATATTCTACAAGACAAATTACCGTGATTTACACAAATGATCATGTTGTGTATTAAAAACCAAGAGGATGTAAACTTAAGAAAAACGTTATGAAAAGTTATTAATTTGTCTTGTGAAATATATGTATAGTATAAATGCATAAAAATAGCTGTTCAATATAGGGCAGTACAAAACAAAATACCAAATGCAATTATTACTTAAATACTATTATTCCAATAAAATAATTTAAACTCTTGAAAATTCTGCAAAAAGTATGATCGATTATGAGTAGAACTGTATCATGTATCATGAAGTCCACAATGTCTTATGATTTCAGTCTCTTATTCAGTGCCTCATTGTGTCCTTTTCAGTCCCAGAAAACGAAGTTGAAAAGAATCAAAATATTTATTTAATTTTGATCGTGTTTTTTGTGTTCCTGGGAGCTTTCACAGCACTGACCATTATTCTGCGAGTTATACGCAGAAAAACCTGTAAGCCCATCATTAACAAAGGTACACTGGTGAAAGACTTTTGATATATTAAGAACAATTAAGACAGTTTTGTCCAAATTATAGCACATTGGTTCAAATGTTAGCACTTGAAATCATAATCATAGGGCATACATTTATTTTTAGTTTACTGTACTTGATTTTATGTATGACATTATTGCAACATGTAATATATATTATTTCATTTTATATGATTTGTATGTCTAACTATGCTTATTCTAGTAGTCAGTGTTTTTATAGTGACATTAATTGTGTGGGAAACAAATTCTTATAAAGTCAATGAAATGTCACTCAGTGATAGGTCAAGAACAAAAGACATCTGACAGCGAGAGAGGCTCAAATGTAACAGAGCAATCTGAAGATACAGATGAAGCTACAACTGATTTGCCAGATGGATTGAACCAACATCACTACAACTCCAGCCTGCCTCTTCCCTCCACTGAGGAAGGCACCACAATCCTGGTTACCACAAAGACAGTGCAAGCTTACCACTGTACACCTGTCATGTAGGGAGGAGATCACTGGAACTTCTATAACAGCAGCAGACTCAGAAAACACTGCACATCATCTGGTTAATGGTGATAGCGAGCATCGTCTCACCATTACTGTGTCCAGACTGGATAAAACTGTCATGACTGCTGCATGGATGCACTAATAATGGATACAGGACTTGAACTTGAACACAGGATGGTATCTGACTGTCAGAAGTGAACATCTCAGTGTTATTTAGATGTAAGAATGATCTGCGATATTAGAATTTAAAAAAGATTACAAACACATTTCACCACATTTTTTTCCGAAAGGTCACTCTTACGCTTTTTAATCAGCGCATAGCCAGTACAAATCTATGCTGTATCTTTGTTAAATTAAAATGTGTTACTTCAATTATGAAGTCTTACTATTTGTAAATATACTTAAAGAAATAAATAAATGCATGACATTTATGTAATAAATGCTTAAAAGGATAGTTCACCCATTTTTTAATCTGCCATCATTTACCCTTTTACCCTTTTATTTTTTTCCAAACAATGTATGACATTTTATCCCCCCAAAATGATCTGTTAGGCACAATGATAGTCTCAGTCACCATTTACTATCACTGTATGAGGGGGTGGGGGAATAAAAAATATAAAAATTACCCTGCAGGTGAAGTCAGTTCTCAACGTTCTGCCTAACATTTCCTTTTGTGTTTCACTGAAGAAATAAAGTCATACAGGTTTGGAACGACACTAGGGTGAATAAACGATGACGGAGTTTTCATGTTGGTGTGAACTGTCCCTTTAAATCAGGCTTTCACAATCCATTGACGTAAATTCGACTTCAAAATACTTGTATATCTATATATATAATTTTTTTAAATTATTAGGCTATGTAGCTTTGACCCACGTGACAATGTTGCTGTCACGTGACACCAGGGCAATGTCATGTGACTGACCCGAGCGCAGTGTACAGTGGTATTAGCGAGCTCTCGTTAGCACAACGATACAGTTTAACTCGGTAGAAACAGTTCACTCATGCTAAATCCGTACGATACTTAATAAAAACATATGAGTATTCATAGTTGTGATGAATTAAACGGCTTTTAAAAAGTGCTAGTTTTGTCTAAGCTAGGCCTCGGTTTAACTGCTCTGCAAATGAAAAGTATGGAGAACGACCCAAAATGTAAACAGTGTTGTTAAACATCTTTGGGGATTAATCTGATACTTTTGGGTACCTACACAACCGCGATTCATGTCGCTTGCTAAACCGTTTGATCTGGAATTTCAGAATGAACGGTGAGTTGTAAATGCGAGGTGATGGATTCATGCTGTTATGTTGTTTATTTGTACATGCCACACATTTAATTGTTATCTATTTATTGTTTGTGAGGCAACCAGAGGTTTCAAAACATTCAGTCTGTGTCACTGTGGTGTGAATATGCAGATCCTACAACGTAATACTTATTTATGACAAGAGCTTTAAAATGGGACAACATTTTAAAAATGGGATAAAAGAGTAAATTTCAACTTTAAATGTGATAAATTTTAAGAGTTAATTTGATCGGTCTGTCTACATATCTCCATATCTACAGTAGCTGCAACAACTTCCTAATTTCTTTATCTGTTGTCTTGACAGGTCATGTGAAATGTCTGTCAAATGGGCTTCATTCAGGACAAAAATCACAGTGCATGAAATGAATAACAGTTTAAAATGATGGCAGAAGATTGACTGCATACATATATGAGTACACACACACACACACACACACACACACACACATATATGTATATATAATATAAAGAAGGAATGGATCATTATATTCAAACTGACAGTGCCTACCACCATTAAGAACTGCTTGTGCTTGTCAATCTTTTACCAAATAGTTAATTATTGTTATTCATTTAATGCCCTGTGATTTTTTAAATGTTTATTTTAGCTGTGATTATGCTGTTAATATCAGTGATATTTCAGGACACTGTACCTTACAGGTACGCAGCAAAATGACCTGAAAAGACAAAACCTGTTAGAGAGACTTCTTGATGCAGTTAAACAGGTAAGGTAACGTTGAATTGTTTCATTGACTATTTGATAACTTATTTGTTTCCATTGCTAACATAAAACATTTCCTCTTTGACAGAGGTGTAAAGAGTACCTGAAAACCATACCTGAGTAAAAGTACAGGTACCTTACAGTGAAAATTAAAGTCACCAATTTCAAAACAACTTGAGTAAAGGTTTTAGAGTATCTGATTTTACTTATACTAAATATATAGGCTCAAAGATGCACTAGTCAAAGAGACATGCCAGGGAAAAACAAGAAAGAGTTGATTTCTGAGAAGAGCTATCACGTTTATTTTCTAAAACCAGAATAAAACTGAACACCTCAAAAATGGCAAAAAACAATATCCTTCAAAAAGGTCTCTTCAGGATAACGGATAAATAAAACAATGTTAAGTAGTTTTTTTTTTTTGCTTAATTTGTTTATTGTACTTTTACAAAAATAAGACTTCTTGCACTGGATGAGTTGGTTTCGGCCTCATTGTCATTGCTAAGGAACTCACATTCACATAAAGTAGCCTTGTTGACAGGTTTGGGTGTGTAAGGGCAAAACGCACAAGATATAGTACTTTCAGTGCCCTGTAGTTGGCGATATCACTTCTTTTGTAGCAGATATAAACTGCTGCAGAAAAAACTAGGTGGCATGCAAAATGTAATGTAATCACATTACAAATGTAGTGGAGCAACCCTCTACATTGCGAGTAAATCACTCGCATATGCGACTAAATCTTCACTCTGGGCGACTAAATGATGTCTAATATTAGCCAAAAATATACTCAAGTACAGTAATTAATTACATTTACTCAAACACTTTACACCTCTGCTCTTTGACAATGGTGGCTTAGAACAAGGAAAGAAGTGGTTTATAGGTTTTTCAGTGGCCAATTCTGATGATGACATTTAGAGCTAGATCAAGATATCTTATCTATCACAAATCATTTAAGGCAGAAGTGAACATTTACTTTTTTTTGTTATAATATTGTCCAAATATCTGCCAGTTAATCAGTCAATATCCTGACATAGAAAGAATTATAAATTCTGTTGATAAACATATATTTTTTTAAAGTATGGATAATAAAATGTCAGAATGCCTTTTTATGAACAAAAACTCTAGTGCAACATAATTCCCTTTTGCGCCATTCCATTTTATTTTGAGTGCAGAAAACGTGTTTATGTTTCTCCCATTTACCAGTTGTTTTATTTAGTAAGTGAGTTGGTAGATCGGGTTATTAAATATTAATATTTATCCTGGTTCCCGTGAAGGTGCTGCAGGGGTCTATAAGGAAGATATTTAATGCATATAAAACTTTTAAAGAAAATGATGACATTTCCAACGGTTTGAATAATTGGAATTTTGAAATAAAATAATGTTAGTTAAGGACTGAACATTCCTTTTTCTAATCGATTATTTTCTCCTCAGTGCCAAATTCGCTTTGGTGGCAGAAAGGAGATTGCCTCAGATTCTGATAGCAGGTGCCATAAAAATATTGCCTAGTTATTTTATAAAGCTGAAAATGGTTTGATAAGACTATGCCAAATTTGTGCGCTTTAATTAATTGGTAATTCTTTCCTATTTTGCTGTCGCAGAGTCATATGCCTATGTGCCCAGTTTGAAGCAGTACTTCAACACGGCTTGAGGAAAAGTCGCGGTTTAGCCCTCACAGCAGCTGCCATTAAACATGCTGCTGGATTTACTAGTAAAACTGAAGCAGGTACTGTAACTGATTCCATCAAATAATGGACATCCAGACCTTACTTTCTATCATTTTTTTTTTCATTTTTTTAGCCAGCCGTGTTAATCGATTTTCTGAAAGCACATGCTGAAAAGTGTTTTTCAAAGTGTTTACTCACTGAACTCTTTGCCCTACTTAATGAGTTTGTCTTAGTTGGTACCCCTGAGAGACATTGCCAGAGAGATTTCCCTAGTAACAAAGAACACATGTGGTGTTCTGGGTTGTCCATAGAGGAAACAGATGCTCATAAGTGCTCATACAGGAAAACCAGGTGCTGATACTGTTTATGAAACCAGATGGTTATGCAACAAGCCTTGTAAAAATGGCAAAAAAGAGAAACAAGGTTTTTCTGAGGTTAGTCTTTGCACCTGTTGTGGTTTTGAGCTGTTTAAAATTAACAGCAGAACTAAAAGTGATACTATGAATCAGTGCTGAGTACTTTTAACTTTTTAAAATAAAAAATAAATTATTACTTTTATTAAGGATGCATTGAATTGATCAAAAGTGACAATAAATCCATTTATAATGTTGCAAAAGATTTCTGTTTTAAATAAATGCTGTTTATTTTCTGTTTTCAACATTGATAGTAATAAAAAATGTTTCTTGCTCATTGGAAAGATTTCTTAAGGATCACGTGACTGGAGTAATCACTGCTGAAAATTCAGCTTTGCCATCACTGGAGTAAATAATATTTTTAAATGTATGAAATAGAAACCAGTTATTTTAAATTGTAATAATATTCACAGTATTACTTACTGTTTTTTTTTTTACTGTATTTTTGATCAAATAAAAGCCTTGGTGAGCATAAGAGAATATTTTTGTGAAAGTGGTCACATCTGAACCCACAACCTTTTGGTTTCCAGCCCAGATCTTTAACTATGAGGCTGCACCACCCTGTATCCTGTAATATCTTAATGTCACAGAGCCCAGGCAAGTATCACCTTCTGAGCCTTAAGTGAGCCATTTGAAAAAGTGTTACATACAGACAGCTGACCAAGTAAAATGCTCCGTTGTTTTGGTCCAAACTTGGGCAGAAACCAGCAACAGATAAAAAATCCAAAATATCAAAGGGATGTAAATACAGAACTAAATACTTACGTTTCAAATAATCTTATATAACCTCTGTAATATTCTCTGCCTGTCTGTATTTTCTATTATGAGGAACTGAGAACATTAACGTGGCGGTTCATACAGGCATCTATTGTGTGTTGCAGAGCTGACGTTCTGGTTTTATGTGAAGGAGCACCTCAACCGTCATGAGTTGCAGCGCTTCTACTCTCTGCGGAATATCACATCTGAGCAGGGCCGGGGCCGGGCATGGCTTCGTTGTGCCCTGAACGAACACTCGCTAGAGCGCTATCTTCACATGCTTTTGGCAGACCATGCCCGCCTTAGGTACAGACACCCATGATTCACTGTTGTGGATGTCTTCTTTTACCTTCCTTTTTGTTTTTCTCTACATATCAGTAATACTCTTTTAACTTATTCAAAGTTCTTTAATGGTTCTTTGGTAAATTCTTTAATCTGCCCCATATTTAGTGCCTTCTATGAAGACTGGGCTTTTGTCCTGGATGAGGAGAGAGCCAGTATGCTGCCCACCATGGCTGCAGGTAATATTTAAATGAGTTATTTGCCAGATGCTGTCTAGGAGTCATATGTAGTTGGGCGTCCTTTCCTGTGCAAGTCTAAATTCAGTTTATGTGATAACAGGGCTCAATTCCATACTGTTTGCCATCAACATCGACAACACAGACCTAAATGGCCAGGCCCGCGGGGGGTCGTCTGTGTCCCACCTGCTTAAGGAGTCCACACAGGGCATGAGCAGTTTGTGGAAAGAGTCTACTCAAGGTGTCAGCACTCTTCTGCGGGAAATCGGTACTGCCACTGCGGTGGTTCCCGGTTTTATCCCTCGCTCGGATGCTTCATCAGACCCGCTGCCCGTCCTGCCCCGCAGCACTTCTGCAGGTGCTTGAGTCACATACCATAATAGAATTCCACATGCACTGTCAGAAATATGTGAAGACATTGTACTTTTAGTGGTACAACAACTTGTCACTTTGGCAGTAACCCCTGAAGGGACAACTTTGTACCTTATCTACGCCTGAAAGGTGCATATTTGTACTGTAGAGTAGTAATATGTACCCTTAAGGCCCTGATATACTTACAGCAACATTCTTTTTCGTTCTCTGCTAAGGGGTAAAAAGAAGTTATAGCTGAAATACCTGAGCAGCGGTATACTGTTTCTGAACATCCCAGTGTCACCCACACTGCTGAGAGCGGTGTTAAGATGAATATGTAAATATGTGCTGCACGCTTTCCTCTCAGTAACAAAATAAACACAAATGACAACAGTGAGAAAAGAGCAGTTAAGAAAGCATCTGATCATAACGATGTGGATATGTTTGCATCATGAGCTCTGCAATTTGGCACTCATGTCATGTTTATTTATTTAGCACTTTATACAATAGATTGCTTTTCGCTTTTCCATCATGGCCTTTAAAGGGATAGTTCACCCAAAAATGAAAATTCTGTCATTAATTACACAAATTAAGATATTTTTGATGAAATGTGAGAGCTCTCAGACCCTGCATAGACAGCAACGCAACTGTAATGTTTCCAGGTCCAGAAACATAGTAAGGACATCGGTAAAACTGTCCATGTGACATCAGTGGCTCAACTTCAGTTTTGCGAAGCTACGAGAATACTTTTTGAGTGCAAAGAAAACAAAAATAACAATTTTTTCAACAATTCTTCTCCCCCGAGTTACATCTTCCGCCATTTTACCGTACGTTCACACCGCCGCCGTCGAGAGCGTCAAAGTGGCCGGAAGTCATTCATTTTCAATGTGAGCCGGTGTCGAGCTGCGGCGCGACTTGGACGTTGAGGGCGTCGAGGAGAGTTGAAATCAGGTCAACTTTATGGTAATGAGCTATGACACGGTTCAGTGGCAACCAGTCGGAACGTAGAAGTCCACCGCTTGAGAAGATTCCAGAGAACGCAGTCCTGTAAACTTTGGTTCCGACCACATTAGTTCCCAAGCAAAATGGAGGAGAGGTAATTTTTGACGCTCTCGACGGCGGCGGTGTGAACGCACAGTTAGAGAGAGTATCACATTGCATACGCACGCTTTCCCCTAAGCATAAACAACGCTGATTACGTCGATTACGCTCTTGGGTACTCTCCAAAATGGCGGAAGACGTAACTCGGTGGAGAAGAATTGTTAAATAAATTGTTATTTTTGTTTTCTTTACGCTCAAAAAGTATTCTCGTAGCTTCGCAAAATTGAAGTTGAGCCACTGATGTAACATGGACTGTTTTACTGATGTCCTTGCTACGTCTCTGTCTGGGAACATTACAGTTGTATTGCTGTCTATGGGAGGGTCAGATAGCTCTCATGCAGGGTCAGAGAGCTCTCACATTTCATCAAAAATATCTTAACTTTTGTTTTCCGAAGATGAATGAAGGTCTTACGGGTTTGGAACGACATGAGGGTGAGTAATTAATGACAGAATTTTCATTTTGGGGTGAAATAACCCTTTAAGTATGACTATGAACCTTTTAGGTGTAAATAAGGTACGATACAAAGATGTCCCTTTAAAGATGTCCCTTTAACGGCACTGCCCCACTGACAGGTAGTTGTAACCCTTAGAAGTACAATTTTTGCAAATTTTTTCTGAAAATGTGTTTTATTTCTCATTTTTTCACGTTTTACTACTAATAAATATTATTGTAGTGTTGCTATTGATGATTGAGATTCACCGGGGATTATTTAGTCTCCCTCATATTATTCCTTTACTTGCATTTTAGATTCCGGTTTAAGAAAAGAGCGCAGACGTAAAAAGAAGATAACAAACATTATCTCTTTTGATGATGATGTGGAAGGTGAGGACGAGGCTGGTGAGGACTTTGTGAGGAGTCTTAGGAAGAGTACGGCGGGTCATGTGAGTTCTGAAGAGGCTCTGGAACCTCCGGACTCTACCTCTCCCATTCATAACGGCTTGACTGAGCCTGGGATCGTGAGCTGGGCTGAAACACCCCCGCAGAACGGAGTGCTGCCTGATACCAAGAGCATTGACAATGAGGAGGAGGAAGAGGACGATATTTACGGAAAGAGCAGGCCGGAGCCCTCAGAAGAGGATCATGGGAATGGGGAGCCGTGAGTTTACTAGAAGTCTTGCTTTAATTGTTGCAGTAATCAACACCAGGATGTAGTGAGACTTGAATTGAAGTGACTTAAATCAACAATTACAAATAGCTATATTAACAAACCATTAATTTTATAATAACTCTTAATTCAATGAGTCCTTGTTACACTTCACATGTACACTAATCAAAAGTTTGGGGTCAGTACAATTTTTTTTAAAAGAAGTTTATATTGATCAAAAGTTACAGTAAAGACAAAGTTACACAGAAATTCTATTTCAAATAAAAGCTGTTCTTTTGACCTGTCTTTTCATTAGAGAATTCTGAATAAAAATGTATCATGGTTTCCACAAAAATACTGTTTTCCACCGTTTTCACCATATCAGCATATTAGAATGATTTCTGAAGGATCTTGTGACACTGAAAACTAAAGTAATTGGCTGCTGAAAACTCAGCTTTGCCATCACAGGAATAAATTATTTTAAAATACATTTAAATAGAACAGTTGTTTTAAATAGTTATTGTATTGTAGTAGTATTTCACAATATTACCGTTTTACTGTATTTTTGATTAAATAAATGCAGCCTTGGTGAGCTTAAGAGACTTCTGTCAAAAATACAAAACAGAATCTTACATACCTCAAACTTTTGAATTATATTGTATTTATTGTATTAGTAACTTATGCATAATTACAAGCAACTAACATACCAAACTCTGTAGTAAGTACATGCTGTTAATTAATATTACTTAGAACTTACTTGTGGAATTACATTGTAACAAAGACACATTAATGTAAAGTGTGACCATAACATTCTGCTCTGCATAGGATGGTTGTGGGGAGTTTATCCAGTGTTTCCACATGGAGTCCAAAGCAAATCATCACTGATAATGACAATAACAACTCACACATTCTCGTACCTCTGGCCCCCAGCGAGCCCTACACACAACAAGGTCAGACCCACAGCCTGTCAGAAACTGTCTGCATTCAGGGATATCTTGTGTTTTCATGGTCTTGTCCACATAGACGTGGCATTCATTTTTATGTCTCTGCTGATTTTCCATATTTCAAAATTAAGTTAAAATATAGCATTACTTAAATAAGTGTTATGTGTAACTACGGTCCTGGCATGAAGAAATGTGCTATTTTTGTGCTTACAGCTGGTCATTCAGTTGAGAATGTCGAATTTCATGGAGAGAAGGAGAGCTCAAGCCCACCAACTGACAGTGAAAAACGAAGCCAACTCCAGTTTAGGTATCTGATACAAAAGAACACATTTTTGTAAGATTTTAGTTAGTAAAATTTCTTTAAAGACTTATGCTTATTGTATTAACTTTTGGTGTCTCAGCATGGAGCCCGACTTGTCAGCGCAGATTGCGCCTGTGACCAGTGTTCTGCCGACCCCTGGCCTTCCAGAATCCATGACCGTTGGTGAGTTGATAGACCCTTTTATTGTCCAGAGATCTTCCTTTGGTCTTTTTAATTCAATTTTTTGAAGGTTTCACCTTTACAGGAACAAATCTTATACCAATTTAAAGGGATAGTTCATCCAAAAATGGTAATGGTAATTCTGTAATTTCATACTCATTTATACACCTTGTGTTGTTTCAAACCTCTTTGCTGTTTTTCCATGGAGCACAATTTGAAGACTTGCATGTTCACACAGCTCTTTCAATATAACAGCCAAGCTCTAAAAAGTGTTGAAAAGTTAAATATCAGTAAGATTTGTTTTTATTTGAAATAATTATTTTAATAATCAGCAAAATGCATTGCAAAAATGCAATTGATCAAAAGTGACAGTAAAGACTTTTACATTGTAACAAAACATCTCTGTTTCATATAAATGCTGTTTTTAAATTCTCTATTCCTTAAAGATTCCTGAAAAAAGTATCATGGTTTCCGCAAACATATTAAGCAGCACAACTGTTTCCAACATTGATAATAAGAAGAAATGTTCCTTGAGCAGCATACCAGCATATTAGATTCCTTGTGTGTGACACTGGAGGAACGGCTGCTGAAAATTCAACTTTTAAAAAAATATATATTAAAATAGAAAAGTTATTTTAAAATATAATTATATTCAGAAGCCATATAATGTTTGTTGGAGTTTGACAGCCTGTGGTCACTATGAACTTTGCTGTTGTATGCATAAGAGTAGGATGAAGATGCCACAGTGGACGTGGTTTTGGAACAACATGAAGGTGAATAAGTAGTGATAGAATCATCATCGTTTTAAGTATATGCAATAACTGTCTAAATTTTTGAGTGAACTATTCCTTTACACTTTTTGTGTATTTGAGCTCCATCTAAAGCATTTAGGTCTTTGAGGATTTGGACAGATGGCATCATTGAGGTAATTTGCCTTGACTACAGCTCTGTTGTCTCGTGGTTTGGTGCAGATGTGAGGCTGTTTTAATCATCGAATAAATATTGTCCATATGACTTTGCCTTTGAAAATATGACTTTGAAGCTAGAAATTATGATGGTGGTCTAACACTTTATTGTTTTTGTGCTGTTGAGACATGCTATGTTTGTAGGGACAGACATCATGCTGGACTTGAATAGGATTTCTATTCTTTTGATTCACCCCCGACATACTTCCTCATTCCAGATGAGGGCACTGTTGGTTCAGTGTGAAACACTCTCATGTTATTCCTCTTTCTCTCTCTCTCTGTCTTTTGTCTGGACAAAACACAACTTTGAGATGGGGCTGGAGGTGACTGATCCAGTTATACTTCAGCTTTCAAAAATAAAAAGGAGAAAAGATGAAAGCAAGAAAATGTTCCATGCTGAGTGCCCGAATCTGCTTGTGCTCTCAGACAGGAATAAAATTCAATTTCAGATCAAACATGGCTTTCTCACTATGCCTTAATAACCTATTAACTGCTATTTAATTATGGATACAACGAACATTACCTTTAAGGCTTGAAAGTGTTATTTTCCCCTTAGATTTGTTTTTATGAGCTATATAGTAGATAGCTTTTTGACTTGGATCATTATATTTATGTGCATTTGTGTACTTCACAGACTTTTTATTTATTCAGTGCTAAAAGAATTGGGGTTTTGTCAACACTATAGTTTGTTTAATATGCAGAAACAACTATAAGTAAGCCATTCTTAAAGAGATACTCCACTTAAAAATGAAAATTCTGTCATCATTTGCTAACCCTCAAGTTTTTCTGAACCATCTTTGACGACGTGGAAACTAGGCATGCGCCGATCCGATATTCATATATCATTATATGTTCATTATATGCCAGTTTTTGTCGGATCGGGTATCGGTCAGAGAGGGCCGATCCAAATCCGAGATTGTGCGTATTATTCTGTGTTACTTCTGAAGCCATACGATAGCTTAAAGGGTTACTCCACCCCAAAATGAATATTTAGTCATTAATCAGTTACCCCCATGTTGTTCCAAACCCGTAAAAGCTTCATTCGTCTTCGGGACACAATTTAAGATATTTTGGATGAAAACCGGGAGGCTTGTGACTGTCCCATTGACTGCCAATTAAATTACACTGTCAAGGTCCAGAAAAGTATGAAAGACATCATCAGAATAGTCCATCTGCCATCAGTGGTTCAACCGTAACGTTATGAAGCGAATGCTTTTTGTATGCGAAGAAAACAAAAATAACGACTTTATTCAACAATTTGTCTCCTCTGTGTCTCTCCGCATCACCGTAGCGCCATTCCGCTGAACACAATCAGCGTATGCTCTTCTGTGTCAGCCGCGCTGCACGGATGCGCTGTTTTTGTTCAAATCAAAGCGTAAATACACGTAGAAACCATATCCCTTTAATGTGAGCTACATATGAATATTTAAGTCCTTACAATAAAGTTCATACAAACTCTTTTCTCCGCTGTGGCTGTCAGTCATTCGTTCAGGGTGAAAAAGGTGGATCGGAGCGTCCCTAGGGAAACATTGACTTAATTGATGGCAATTCATGTTTGCTTGTAACTAGGGATGTACTGATAGTATCATGACATGATATATTGTGGTACAAAATGTAAAATTAATCCTGATAATGCCGAATGTCTGATTTTACCAGTAAATTACTATAAAATATAATATAATATAATATAAATATATTTTAGATAAAATATAAAAAAGAATCATATTTAAACTATAATATAATTATAGTTTAAGAATAATTAAACTTTTTAAATGTATGTAATCAGTGACAGTCTAACATAATTCTGTATTTTCAGCTAAGCAGAATCATGAACATTTCTATTTTGGTGTTACCTTTGCCCTGTGCATTGGCCACCTGGACCAAGTCCAAGCCTGTTCAGGTCCACCCCTGATTGAATACCAATTTTAGCATGTTTATAAACCGTATTTTTTGTAAACTTTATCATATGTCTTTTGTCTTATAAATACTACTACTACTAATAATAGTAATAAACCCTTCCCATTTATTTTGCTTTTTGTTTAAAGTATCATGAGAGTAACCCTTTTGTGAGATCAGTATCAAATGAGATCAGTATGTGTATTGAACCCGAATGGCGACATGAGTGTATAGTTACACCCCTACTTGTAACACAAAGCTGCAGGTTCAATCCCAAGTAGGGGTGACCCCGTTGTGCCTTTAAGCAGACACTTAATCCCAGGTTACTCCAGAGGGAGTCTCCATGCAGATAATGCACCGTAAATAGCCTTTGATGAAAAGCCTGTACTAAATGTGAACCAGTGCCAGGTGTCTCAGACTGCTGACTGTGAACCTGGCTTTCTGGGAAGGAAGTCAAAGCTTCGCCTCCTGTACTTGCCTGCTTCCTCTCAGGATTACAAACATACTTGGACCACCTCACTCTGGTGTGCTTCTCCTCCTCCAGATGAGGGGCTCTGGGAGATGTAGCGAGATCCTCTGCAAAAATTATCCTCCAGATCCTTCTCCAGCACACACACAGACACTTCTGTGCTCCTGTGTAGATGACAAGTGCATAGTGCAACACATATTTATAATCCTTTGTGTGGGTGAAAACAGCCTTATCAACTGATTGGTTTGGTAAAATGTGTTATTAGGTGTGCAACGATGCCACGGTTCGGTTCATATTAAGGTTTTGGAGCCACGGTTTGGTTTGGTTCGGTTCGGTTCGGTTCGGTTCTGTTTGCTGTGGGGGTAGGGTTCATGCCATGTCACCAGCAATGCTAAAGAATACTAGATTTACTTTTAACTTAATAATAATAATAATAATAATAATAACAGTAATTGCTCTCTGTTAGTTCATGTTAATTAAAGCATTAACAAATGAGACTTTAAAAATTGTTGCTTTGTAAAGTGTTACCAAAAAATCTATTGCAGGGGTCTCCAAACTTGGTCCTGGAGGGCCGGTGTCCTGCAGAGTTTAGCTCCAACCCACACACCTGAACCAGCTAATTAAGGTTGTACTAAGCGTACTAGAAACTTCCAGGCAGGTGTGTTGAGGCAAGTTGGGGCTAAACTTTGCAGGACACCGGCCCTCTAGGACCGAGTTTGGAGACCCCTGATCTATTGCATTAAAATTTTTAAAATAATGTCTAAATAATGCAAACAATTCATTGGACATTATTACTAGGCTACATAAAAAAATGCATGTGCCATGGATAAATAAAATGGAATAGCCGGACAATAAGGAAATGATTTGAATCAAATATGTAATAACTCAATCTGACACTCGAGAGTCGTGAGCTGTTTGAGGTGGCTGTGCAGGCTTTGGCTGAGAGCGCATTAAAGACAGTCTCTCAGAGAATGCGTGAGTAGGGGAAAGTTGGGACGGTTGCAACACTTTTTCCATTTCTTTTACTTTCTCAGAGACTATAAAAAAGGAGTGATACCTAACTATTGAAAAGGGTTCTTTATTAATCCATAAAATTACAATTATGTAATGTTATGGCAAGCTTTTACATCAATGTTGTGGTAAGGGACAGCATGTTGGGATGGTTGCAACGTTTATCTTTGACAGATTACACAGATTAAAATGATGTGACTTTACACTGCTTCAAACAAAAACTTAAGTATGACAAAAAATCTGATCATTAAAAAAATACTTTTTTACCATGAAAATTATATTTTATAGAAGGAATGGTCGCATGTGGCTGATTTCTTCCAGGAAGGATAAGGGGCTAATTGAGCATGTGTAGTATGTATTTCACCACTGTAGCTCATTATTTATTGATGAAGTAAGCCATGTTGCAACTGTCCCCACTCTCCCCTACTTTATGGGTTAAAATAGCTTGAATGTTTAAATTGGCATGACTTAAAATGACATGCAATGACAAGTCCGTCAACTGTCCGAAACGCGCGCTAGTCTTGTATTGCAGCATGCAGCTCACTTGCAGAGCAAACTCAACGTGGATATTACGGATGTGAGGCCATTTGTGCATTTTGAGGGAGTCTGGAATTTTGAAATTGAGTCTGTATTTAGATGTACCACTCAATCCCAATCACTCACACAGATTGTGAAATTCTGTCTCACAGAAAGCTTTAAAATGACTAATCTGCTCTGATAATCTGTTTGGATTCAAACTATAGTTTTAATCAACTGCTATAATGCAGAAATGTTTGCGGGAATTTCCCGCTTTATAATCGCAAAATCTGCGGGAATGTGTAGAATTACGCACAATGCCTGCAATCCCGCAGCGAAATTCAGGCCCTGATTATATTGCACAAAATCAAGCACAAGTGAACTTGAACTAAGTTACTTAGTCAGAATGTGTAACTCCTTCTGTGGATGCGCTTTTTGTAACAACACGCTGAAAACGTCAGCTAAACTCTAAGATTCTCTAAAACTCTAATACATTTTAACGTTATGTTTATGCTGCGCTTTACTGCAGCGTAACTCAACCAAATGTATCTTATATGAGATAAATAATTACACCCCTGTTTGTTATGTATATAATTATTGTACTGTACTTTATGTGAAACAGTTTGCAGCTTGCAAACAGTCTTTATTAGAAACATGTACACAACACTCTGAAATACTTGATTCTGATTGGTTAGTTGTGGTATTCAGTGGTAGGGCTGGGTGATACATCGAATATTAACATATTATCGCAGTATCTTTGCTGACTTTAAATTTAGGGAATGTTGTAAATTTCATGATAATGTTAAAAGTTTAGCTTATAAATACAGTAAGCCAGTTTCACTCCCCTTTTTTGTCTCACAAGTATGACAAATATGGAAGCATTTGAAAGCAGCTGATTGGCAGTGCGTAATATCAGAGTCCCTTTAAGGCAAGTCATTCTGCGGCCATCTTTGCAACGTGCCTCGGGCAGCTATTTCAGTCATGCAAATACAGTTCTTGTTCTTTGAATGGGGAAACATCACATTCTCCAAAGCTGTTCACCAAACTTACAATTTCATATTTGAGCGGTTCATTCATAAATTCATAAGATCTTACCCTTATGCTGCCGAAATACAAATTGGAAGGCAGAACACAAACAAGCGCAGTTCTGTAAAGGGGCGGGGCTAGATAAGGTGTATATTAACCGGAGCTTCTAACGGCAGCTGCAGTGATGCGATGACTTTACCAATTAGCGATTGGCAGGACTAAAGTCAGGACTATTCTGCCATATTGTGCCTCGCACTTTCTCCCATTCATAAGTAATATAATAACTTTGTATCTTTGTATACCTACAGTCTTTGGCAGTGTTAGCAATAGTACCTATTTGTATGAGCATTCTGTTAAGGGCATCAAAGGCTTCAGTTTACAATGTTGTTTTGCAGCATTGAGCACTGTAGACAATCAGACATATATGCTGAGTGCATTAATGCAATGATGAAACGAACGTGCTTGTTAGTCAGAATCCCCTCAATGTTCAGCTTGAGCTCATAGAGTGAATTCTGCATGCTCACTAATTGTTTCATTATAACCAACAAAGTGTAAACATGATGCAGATGAGAGATTAATTGTGCAGTGTAAACAGCTTTTTTGATTATAACAGGAAATTTCTCAAGAGTGTGTAACTCAGTGAGATTCCACTGAACTGAAGTGATTCACCGCTTCAGTGATTATGAATCACATGTTCTTTGTACACTTTTTGAAGAAAACCCATTCACAGTTTGAAGAAAAGTTTTAACCACTCACTACAAACTGCAAAGTTATGGGAGTAACAGCTGTATTTCAATTCATAACTTGAAATTGCAGTGATTGACAAAGTGATAACCATAGCAACGGATGACACAAAAATATGTCATAATGTCTGTAAATTAAGTTTTGAAGTGTAAATGAAAATCACAGACGTCACTTGTTCTGTTAAGTGTAATATGCTTCTTTATTATTCATTTTATTACTAACTTGAACACTTTATTTCTTTTTTAAGCAATGTTTACTAAGTTAAAAACTATTTGAATTATTTTGATTATTAATTTATATATTACTTTACTTTAATTATGGGTACATTTGTATGGTCTTGTAAATATTATTTTGTTGGAGTGTGTCTTGGTTTGGGGTTATTATTGAATTGATTTTGCCTTTGAGTTTATTTCTCCCTCAAGGGTTGAAGTTATATTTTGTTGAGAGATGTAATTTGTAATTTTCAGGAGTTGCTTTTAGCCTCAGGTTGGTTTCTTTAATTTACTTATTCATTTGGGACAATATTTTGCATGCCTGCCCCTGTATGTTTTTTTGTAATCTAATTTCTATCCATTTTTCAACAACTCATGTCCTGAGTGTATCACTTGGCCAGATTTATTACAGTAACCAGACTGGAAAAAAGACTCCTTAAAACAAATGTTGTCCTATTGTTGTAACCAATTTCTGGAATTAGTTTTTGAAAGGGACATTGCGCATAAGTGAAGCTGTTTCAGATTACGTCTATGGCTGCCAAATTGATCTCTGGTGGTCTGAAAAGCTTTTTCTCTTAGAGAGACAGTAATTGAGCTATATCACTGTTCAAAAGATACCAATGTTGTTGTTCCTCAAAAAAAATAAAAATAAAGACATCTTTGACTTTCTTTTGCTGAAAGTACTTTAAGCTTGTTAAATGTGAATCAGACCAGCCAGGTTTATATAGATGGCTCTGTTCAAGCCTGCGGTTCCTCTGAGATTCATTAAATGATAATGGACTGATAGGAGCGTTCAGACTTTGTCTTTTGGAGCCGTGTTGTTGGGGTTATCTAGGTTACCCAGTGCCAGGTCATCCAGCTTTCAGAGTGCAACAACAAAGAAACTGATTCTCCCTTTCCTTTTCGCTCACCAGTCTGGGACTGATAGGAGCGTTCAGACTTTGTCTTTTGGAGCCGTGTTGTTGGGGTTATCTAGGTTACCCAGTGCCAGGTCATCCAGCTTTCAGAGTGCAACAACAAAGAAACTGATTCTCCCTTTCCTTTTCGCTCACCAGTCTGGGACTGATAGGAGCGTTCAGACTTTGTCTTTTGGAGCCGTGTTGTTGGGGTTATCTAGGTTACCCAGTGCCAGGTCATCGAGCTTTCAGAGTGCAACAACAAAGAAACTGATTCTCCCTTTCCTTTTCGCTCACCAGTCTGTATTTAGACCGAGTGTTGCCGTTTTTTCCATAGTGTTTTGCAGTGCTGTAATAATGCTTCCCAGTCAGAGCTTTATGTTTCACAAGGCTAATGTGTTTTGAGGCAAAATCTGCAGAGGCTCCCCTTACGGCTGTGTTATAAATGCCTTCCCCTTTCACGTCACCTTCATTTTAAAGAAATTAATGTCGGGCTGGTATTTTAAGCCTCACATAGTTCCCTTTCAGTCGGTCACTCTCGACGTCACGTCGGATGACCGACCTTTTCCCTAAAAGAGCAATTTCGGGTGCATCTTTTTAAAGATGACGTTGCGTGGCAAACTTGACGTTATGTCTTTGTAAAGACGATGTGGGTCTTGCTATAGACAACGTATCACCCGGGCGTTTCTGGATGCGGTCGTTACCTGGCGCTGGGTGATGGTCACGATCGCTGCCTCACGTGCCTGGGCATGTAGCACGCTGAGGTGGCGTTTGTGGATGAGTCATCTTCTCATTGCGGGAAGATGATCATCTCGGAGTCGCGGGCCAAGCTCCGTTTCCTCAAGGGGCGGAGTTCTGTTGCCTCTGCCTTGATCTAGTTCTCCTCATGGCGGCAGCTAGGGGGGGCTACTTCAGGCAGTAGCGAGGGCGGTCTGAGGCACTCCGCAGCCAGTTGAGCTGCCAATGGAACGTGCTGGGCCCTCTACAAGGAGCGTACCAGCCGTATCCGTTGGCACTCCTCCCAACGACCGGATGTCGATTGCTGCATCGGAGGGTGAGCCAGAGCTTTCTTCTTTATTAGTTCTGTGGTGCTACACAAATGAAAATGTCAGCGGTATAAAACAGTAACCCTTATTGAAAGAATGAAGACAGGCGTGGGACATTAAATCCCACTGAGATATTGAGTCTTATTGTTCAGAAGCCATGTTATTTTCTGAGTCGGGTGAGGACAAAAGCCATTGTTCATTTTGAGTAGGTTTTGATACCCTTATAACATCGATTTCTTTTCTCCTTAGCTGAACTGCGGCAAGCCATTGTGGCCATGATGAACAGGAAAGATGAACTCACTGAGCAGAACACGTAAGAGATTACTGATTGCAGTGATCATTATGGACAGATAGTTTTCGTTTATTCATGAAACATGAGCCTTACAAATTTGTATTGTATTTTTTATCAAATAAATGCAGTCTTGGTGAGCATTCTTTTAGAAACATTACCAACCCCAATTATTTGAACTGTTGTGTATATCATGGTTTTTAACTTTATTTAATAAATAGAAATAGAATAATACTGAGATTTCACTGACCTTTTTGTGAAAAAAACAAAACAAAACTCGAATTTCATTGAGTGTCAAACCTTTTTTGTACCCTATTTGTGAAAAGTGCCATGATGTGCAGCTGGGTAATTATCATGTGCACTTCTAGTCATTAAAGACAGCTAAGGAAAAGTGGGTCAGATGTGTGTGTGTGTGAGTCTTACTGTTGTTATACTCTTTGGCACAGGTCTCTGCGCAGTCTCCTGGATGGAGAGATGGAGCACTCTGCTGGGCTCAGGCAGGAGGTGGACAGCTTGAAGAAGAGACTGGCTGAACTAGAGGAGAGACATGCAGCCAAAGTCCAAGCTCTCATGAGGTAATGTCACTAGAAACTAATCGAACAGTCTCACATAGGCCGACTATCAGTCTAGTCCACATTGCATTTTAAACCAAACACCACCTACTTAGACAGAAAACATCTGGCCTACATGTGAAGCACTGTAGATTTTTTTTTTTAGTTCAAGGCAAAGAAACTAAATGAAGTTTTGATATATTTACGGTAGGAAATTTACTAAATATCTTCATGGAACATGATCTTTACTTAATATCCTAACGATTTTTAGCATAAAAGAAAAATCTATAATTTTGACCCATACAATGTATTTTTGACTATTGCTACAAATATATATACCCAAGCGACTTAAGACAATTTATGAATGTGTCATGATCCTAAAGAGAGATATACCTGTTAGAGACTAGCTACAGGCTAATAGCTGGCTAATGTTAGCATTGCTTAATATGAAATGAGGGTTTAGGATTTTCGGATGTATTTGACTAAGGTGTCTTATGCTCCCTGAGGCTGCACTTATTTGAGCATAAATACAGTAAAAACAACCATATTGTGAAATGTTATTTCAGTTTATAGTAACTGTTTTCTATTTCAGTACAATTACATGTAAAATGTAATTTATTTTAATGACTAAATAAAACAAATATAATTTAGCTGAACCATTGATGAGCCATTACTCAGCCATTACTTCAGTGTCACATGATCCTTCAGAAATCATTTTAATATGATATATATATATTTACTGACCACAAACTTTTAAATGGTAATGTACATTATTTGCAGTCCTTGTGTAGTACTTACACCTTACATACTTTATTTGTCCTTTTTTTATTACATTTTTTAAATGCTTTCTTCATGGTCATATCAATGTGGTGATAATATTTTGTGTTGTGGTCTTTTAAGTAAGGCTTATAACTCTTTGTTGAAGCATTTTAAAATGCCTATGGTGAAAATCAAGGTCAGAAAAGGTCTGTTGCTGAGACTAACCAAAGAATGACATACGTATGTTAACACTATTGCAGTTATTCACTATAAGATGATCAGAAACCATTAAGCATTTTGTGTATTAATTCACTTCAAGTATGAGCGTCATCAAATTGATTACCACTATTTAAGTAAAACATGTTTTTCTAACAAGAATCTGTCTTGTTGCTTCCTGTCTCAGAGTCTTGCAAACTCAAATATTAAGAGTCCAGTCAGTTTTTCTGTCTCAAACCTAATCTGTCCCAGTCAATAGAGACTAAAAATAAGATGTGGAAACACTCGGTGCGGCTGTGTGTTCAGAGGAAGCACCTATGAGCTGTGCTCTTGGGCTTAGCTCCATTGATTCAGCCTGGCTCAGTGGGCAGTATTTAAGAAGTAGGATCCATACAGCAAGAGGCCAAAATGCTCTCACACTCACACTCAGGCTCCTGTCAACACAAAGCTCTCCCATGCCGTCACGTCCAAGTTCAACCGGACGAGCAGAAACAGACGAAGGGATGGTTGCGGCAGCGTCTGACAGTCAGAATAATACTTTACTCAGTGCAGCGGAGCTGCCTGGGTTTTTGTCTTCCTGAAGTGCTGCTGCATTATTGGAAGAGACATCTTGCTTTTGTGAGCATTTCATCAGCTCTAATGTAGTGGTTCCTCAGGGGGATAATGTGGGGAGTGAATGAACAAATTAATTTAGCTCAGTAGGAGGACAGCAGCCGAGAGCAGGAGGCAGGCTTGTCAGTATGACGCTGTGTCAAAGAGGATTATGGGGGAGAATACCACACTCGGTATCATGCTGGTGACATCTGCATCATGCCTGGATGGTACATCCCTCCACTTGCTCTTCATCAGCCTGTTTAGACAAACTGACACAGGGTTGGCCTTGTTTACAAGTCAATTCAATTATGTATCTGAAGGGGTCGCCAGCCAGCTGTTTTGTATTTTCCATTTGGTTTAGTCTTGGAGAATGTTCTCTTCTGATTGGTATTGAATTGTATTTGACCTCTGTTTTGGCTCAGTAATCGTCACATTTTGTAACACTTAAGATAATAGCAGCTGCTGCATAATGCCGGTTCTGTGTTTGACATTTTATTTACCTGTAGCCTTAGGGAAATGGAAATGGGTTCTGGGAAGGGCATCTAAACTGCTGTCATGCATAGTCATGTCTAGGCCGTACATTTGCAGTGCTGAAGGAGCATCTGTGGATTCCTGCGGAATATAATTTTGCATTCAGCATGGTTGATTTAAGTTGGTGAGGCACCACATACCTCTAGAACAGGGATTCCCAAACTACTACTTTAGTAAGTGTTTTATTTTAATAGTGTTTGTTTTACAACGATTTTTTTATTTTTATGATTTAATAAAAAGTAAAATATTTTCAGTAGAACAAGATCATAAGAAACTAATGATGTATTTATTGTAATTTAATCAGAAGGGCATTTGGCAATTTATTTCAGATTAATGTGACTTTTAATTATTAAAGTACAATAAATAACTATTAAATTAAATAATGACTCAATTTTCTTGATGCAGAAGATATTTCAATTAAACAATATTATGCAAAAAACATATATATATACAGTGTGTATATATATATATATATATACTGTATATATATATATATATATATATATTAAGATTATAAAACTAATTGATCATCTGTGATTTTATAATTATGCATCAGAAAGTTAATAAGCCAAAATACATAATAAACAATTATTACATTTATAGAAATGTCTGATTTTATGTTACAGTTCTGTGGAACTTTCTACTGAATGCATAAAAAATAGAAATAGAATTTTAAACACATAGAATACATGATTGAATTTTTAGGAATAATGGGCATTATGGGTTTGTGGAACTTTGAGTTCTGCAACCAGGCGGTTGTCTAGCAAATCCTTTGTAGCTCATGCTTTTAATAGTTTTTCTATGAACCAATTTCCCTGCTGGATTTACATTTAGGTGGTTCATTGTGGAAGAATGGATCTTAAAAGAAAATGTTTCTCTTCTGGGTGTACAAGAGTACATGTATAGGGCACGTAGTAGAGTGTTTTTGAATACAAAAAGAAAGACGTATTTCAGGTATTAATATGTCACAAGTGTGTTTAAGTTAAATTATTTAATTAAAACTATTGTTACAGGACTTTAAAGTGAGAAAACATTGACCTGGTGTATTAAGAACAGTGGCTTTTTTTTGTGATATGGATAATTTATTTATATACACACGCATTAATGCAACTATTACTTTGAAGATAATGACATTATGTGTATGTTCAAGGTGGCACTCATTAAGTAGACCACTAAATGACCCATAAGCCCTTCAGAGGCACACCAGCAGTTCCCCTCTTGTGCTAGATGTTAGTCTTCTAATATGAATACACTAGCATGTGTGCATACTGTGACTCGCTCTGTAGGGGCAATGGAAAAGATCAATGTGGCACACCTGACTTGCCGAGTCCTCCCTATAGAGAAGCTGTCACTTATTAACTTTAATTAAATCGCCGCGGAATTGTACGCAGCTCACCGGTGCGAAAAATGACCGAGTCCCCTCCTTTGAGAGCCTGCCAGACGCCTTTTGATCTCCTTCATTCTCTCCCTTTATTGTAGGGTATGCAATGGGCAGTGATAAGCGAGTTACAAAAGGCGTCCTGTAGGAATAGGAAGGGATGTTTTTCACAGAAACACAACCTGGATTGATTCTGATTGATTTTCCCAAACCACCAGTAACAAGCCTTGTAAGCAAGCTCGCATACGCACGCACACACATCTCGCTCCCCAGAACAGCCTTATTAAACTTTGTGTAAAGCAGTTCCTGGAATTGAATTCAGTGGGGGGCTTGCTGTGGGAGTCTCTCAGTGGGCTCCTCATGCATACTGCACATACATCCTGAATGTCAGGATAGTGTTGGATGATGTTAGTATATCTTTTTATGCATTATTTTCTTGTAATGTCTAACTGTATTAAATTAGTTTCAGTGGTGCGGGTCTGTTTAATGTTATGGAAGATGCAAGCTGTTTATTTATTTTATTTATTTCCTTTATTTAGCTAGGAAAATCTCATTGAGATACTGAAATATCTTCTTCTAGAGAGACCAGGTCAAGACAGCAGCACAAAGTTTCACACAAGACAGATCATAAAGCAACATTACAAATACTCATATACAGTCACTAAATAAAGAAACATAAAGAAAAACAATTACAAATCTCCAATAAAAGAGTTTGCAAAAGACATTTAAAATTATTCAAGGGAAGTACATCCAGTTTGAGTACATTTTGCAGTTCATTCCAAACCCAAGGAGCATGAAAGGAGAAAGCACTGTTATTACAAAAAGTGGTGGAATTATATTTAAATCACGGCTGTGAAGCAATAAAAATGTAAAAAAAAAAAAAAAATCTCAGTTTTCTGTGATTTAATAGCAAATAATCATGTTAAGTGCAGTTAATCACACCTAACATTCAAAATGTGCAGTCATAAGTATATTTAAACATTGAGTCCTCCAATTGGTGTAGAATCAATATAAAGTATTTTTTAAATCATGTTTGTCTAACAGTATCTTATTACCAACTGCTGTCAAGGACATTATTACTGATATCAATACCAAAACATTAACATTTATTCATTTATCAGACGCAAGTGACTTATGAGGAATACAAGAAGCCGATAATACTGCTAACTATTAATACATTTTTTTTTTTCAGTTTCTGGGAATAAAATGAATATTTATAGCCATTCAGCATTATATTTGGAAGTAATTTTTAACATAAATAGCAGGGATGTCCCGAGCTGATCTCAAGGATCGGAATCGGGGCTGATATTTTATTTTTATTTTGATGCGTGCTTTAGTAACAAATCAGACGTCGTTGTCATAACACGTTGCTATGTGTTGCATCTTGCTTCACACTTGACTGACAGATGGACAGACACAATAAACCTGATCGGGACATCCCTAATAAATAGGTCTAAACTGCAAATTATCAGGCTATTGTTTTTTTTAGTTTTTTTATCATTTATTAACAATTACAGAACATGATCAAACTTATAACAACGTTTAATTAAAAAATGTAATCTATTTAAAATTTCAATCTATTTTAATTAATTGCATGTTTAGCTTTGTCTTTATTTATTAACTCCACATGTTCTCTGAGAGCCTGCTCATTTTTTAATTTTATGTTAAATTAACATGTTTTTGAATATAAAATAGCTTCTTGTTGAACTCAGCAGCTTTCATGCACATTTGATCTCTTTTATCATTTTTATTTGTATTATTTTAGAGAAAATGAGGTTCTGAAGGTCCAGCTGAAGAAATATGTTGGAGCTGTCCAAATGCTGAAAAGGGAAGGCAGCCAAGGCAATGACGGTAAGGCAGTGTTCTCATACGATAGCATGTTTGACGAAATGTGGCAACCTCATAACGTACAGCCATTTTCATTTACTTTGGTGGTTAGTAGCTTTAAAACTTTTTGAAACTTGTAACCACATAAAACCACCTTACCAAAGTCAGACACATTAACGTGAAAGATTTTGTGGAGAAAAAGACTTAATTATATTTTGTGTAAAAAAAAAAACAGTTATCTGTGCAGTGATGCGTTGGATGTGCAGACATTCCAAGCCCCTGGAGGGCTTAGAAGGGTCCCAAAATGTTCTAATTAAATAAAAAAATATTGAAATATTGGATTGCAGTTGTTCTTTCGCTTCTGCAGACTATTAGCATGTGTGTGATGAATGACATGACATCCCTCAGTGGGTCATATGTTTGAACAGCCTGTGTCTGTAATTTTAGTTTTTTCTGCGATTTGGTGGGAATTTCAATTATCTCTACATAATTCAGTCTACATAATTCATAAGTTCAGTGTGGTAGCACGCTCTAATATGCAAAGTAAAAGTGTACCTTACAGGAGCTGATATGCAAAGCGTTTATCAAAATTCCTCTGTGGGTTGTTTGCATCTCAGCCCTCCTATAAATCCAGCTAACTGGGTGATGCACACCCAGCACCAATTGGTTGCGAATCTTTATGATTGCGCTTTATATCTCTTTAATGGATTTGACAAACACGCTCATCTTCACAGATCAGCAGTCGCAGATCTCACAGCTCGTCATTGCGTAGTATTACAGTATCAGTCAGATCTGTGTGTGGAAGTGAGGTCCCACAGGAGAGTAAGCCTCAGAGAAACCCCAAACGGATGCCTAATAAAGAGTTTTATACGGCTGGATCATGCTGTGTGTGCCGGGTCTATTATGGCTCCTTGTTGGACGCACCAACAGCACTATTGATGCAAATTTCCTCATTTGCTTTCTCTCTGGCTTACGCTGTCTCGCCATGGTTGCAAGAAATAATACTAGAATAATAGAGGTGGCCACATGCGAGTCTAATGCTCTATTCGAAAACCTAGTGAGCTGCCTATGGAGGCTGCATTTTAAAGCATTGATGATGTGCTCCCAACTTGATGTTATTCATAGTAGTTCCTTGCCTTTAATCAAATGTTATGCAGTTTTAGCCACATTTTATGATAGCATTGCATGTATCCTTCACAGAAAATGCATTCTCAGAATGCATTGTGACCAGCTCAAGTGAAAAGATGTAATGTACATTTTTTTATGAGTATCGATTAAAGTAGTTCAGTGTAAATGAATTCTTTTTCAAATATTTGTGAAAATTAAATTTAATTAAACTATTAATTTATTTTTAAATTAATTTAATTATTAAAAAATGTATCTAATACATTTTTTTGTGTTTTTGTTTTTTTTAGTTTTTCTTTTTCGGTGATATAATCACAGAATTGCAAGACTCAGACTTCAGCAATTCCAAGTTGACATCTCGCAATTCTGCATTTTTTTCTCAGAATTCTGAGTTTACATCTCTCAATTCAGTTTTTTTTTTATTTCCACCACAAAATAAAAAGTAAAAAAGGTAATTGTGACTTTTTATATCACAACTTTTTTCCCTCGCAGTCGCAAGTTTTTATATCTCGGACTTCTACTTTTATCTCTAAATCATGTGTTGATATGTTGCAATCACACAATTCTGCATTTACAGTGGGTACGGAAAGTATTCAGACCCCCTTAAATTTTTCACTCTTTGTTATATTGCAGGATTTTAGCAAATGGCTGCAATATAACAAAGAGTGAAAAATTGAAGGGGGTCTGAATACTTTCCGTACCCACTGTATATCTCTCAGTTCCGACTTTATATTTGGAGTTCTGAATTTTGAGGAAAAAAGTCTGAATTGTAAAAAGTATAATTGATAAAAAGTTGCAGTTACCTTTTTCCTTTATTTATCCTGTGGCAGAAAAAGGCTTCCATACTTGGTTATTCTAATATACAGTTTTAAGTAATTAATGACTGAATTTTTTAATTTTCAGGTGTTTTGTTTTGATTTGTTGTAATGCTTATTACTGAGCTATCATAACTTTGCATAGTACTAGCGTCAAACTATTTAAGTCTACACTATTTATATGGCGCACTGCCTATGTAGAGCACTCACATATGAGGTTCTGTGACTGTTAGGATGCTGTCTATTTAGGCTGTAGACAGCGAGGCAGCTCACTAGATTGTAGAACAGGGATTAAACGATTCCTCCCTCCATGTCTTCTGGGCTAATGATGTGTCCGTACTGTACTCTGACTTTGACGTTGAACCGCAACTGAAAAGGATGGTAGGGACACATCAATTTGATATACAAGTGCACAATTCGAGACTTTTTCATGTCCTGTCAGACTGTGCACACATGATATGAGCTCTTTTTTTTTTTTTTTTTTGCTTTAATGATAGTATGCTCCCGATGTGATCTTAGGTGAACTCACGCTTCTGAGATCATGATATGTTTAAAAAGAATTCCTTGTGACTCCCTAAAGTTGAACTGCTATCACATTATTGCAAGTGTTGGATTAGAGCATGCAATTAGATAAACACCTTGCTCCACCAAAATGTGAAATGAAATAATATTTTTAATTCCCATATCAAATATCCTTTTATTAGGCATTGGAAGTGAACAGGAAATCATGAAAATGAGAGAGGTTAAGTGTCTCGTCACTTGCAGAGGCTGCAAAGAGAGCAGAAACAGCTGGGGTTTTCGTTTTTTTGTTTCTCTTCTTTTCTCCAGAAATGTAGGTCAAAGGGAGAGTCATAAGTTCTGGGATAACCCGAGCTGAGAGAACCCTACATTTGTCTCAGATGATGGATGGTAGTTCTGCGGCTCGTTATAATAAATAAATCTTTATCTGTGTAGGGTGAAATAAGAATTTACAGGAATGGGTCACAGTGGTTGACTAGTTGTCCAACAACCAACTAGTCAATTATTGTGGTCAGCAATTTTATCTAGATTCCTTTCCCTTTAAAAAAAAATATATATATATTTTAGCAGTGGTGCTCTAATTAGCATTCTAACACTGTGCTGTTTTTTTTTAGCTGACAGTTTGCACCATTTCAGAAAAGGAAAAAAAAAAAATTTTTCATACTTTTACATTCTGTTAGTCTAGCTTTCTTTGCACACAAGAACGCATCTCTTATTAAGGACTTTTGCTCCTGGTAAGTGTGGTTTGGCATTTAGTATTACTTTTATTCAGCAAAGACAATGATCAAAAGTTAAAGTAATGACATGCACGTTGTTGTTCTTTTTAAATTTCTGCTTATCAAAGAAAAGAAATATTAAGCAGCACAGCCATTTTCAACATTGGTAATAAAAATAAATGTTAATGTTACCTGAGCACCAAATCGGCATATTAGTATGATTTCTGAAGGATCATGTGACACTGAAAACTGGAGTAATGGCTGCTGAAAATTCAGCTTTGCCTTCACAGGAATAAATAAAATTTCAAAATATATTTAAATTGTAATAACATTTTTCACAGTATTACTGTTTTTACTGTATTTTTAATCCAATAAATGCAGCCTTTGTGAGCATTAGAGACGTCTTTCAAAAACATTTTAAAATTGTACCAACCTCAAACATTTGAATGGTAATGTATATATGCCTGTTGATAATGCTGCAAATCATTTTCCCCAAGGGGACAAATAAAATTATCTTACCTTACCATATGAGTTGGGGGCATGATTAATTGTGTAATTTTTTTTCAGTATTCAGATATGTAATTAAGCACACTAAATTAATATTACCTTAATATTACTTTCATTTACATAAATGTTTTTTAAATGCACTTTGAAAGTTGTTTCTTGTGGTTAAATTATACTGTGCTGAAAATCCTTTACCTAATTTGGTGTTCCCTGTCAAAAATGACCGGCCTTTTAAAAATACCAAACCTGTGCTAATTGAAAGAAAACAAGTTGATAAAAAGATTGCTTGTAAATTCAATCTTTTGTAGCCTGATAATTTTTGACATTTTAGCCTGATCATTTTTTATCTTTTTTTTTCCCAATGTATACTACACAGTAAGTAGTTAGTTCTTCATCAAATGAGAGCCTCTCAAACTACTCATATGCCGCCCAGGCCTATCACAGTGTGAGATTTTGGCACTCAAATTGCGATGGATTCATTGCTTTATCAGCCCTGCTTGACTTGTAATGCATTCATTACAGAGCCTCTGACAGGCTAAATGAATCTTAGTTTAGGAAATGGATCAGTGTGCTATTTAAAAATGAATAAACGTGCCGGGCCTTCGCCTGTCTCCAATGACAGCCACAGTTAATCATCAGTGAGTCAGTGATGGCCATTCTTCACTAGTGCAGCCAGAAAAGCGTTAATAATTGAATGTTTCAAATTCATTACACGGCGGATTGTATTTACTCTTCCCTGTTGGGCTCTGGAAGTGAAGCCGTTTTGTTGTTCACGCCTCTGCTTTGGTAGAGAGGTGTAGATGAGTGTGCAGCCGTGTGTGGGTAATGTGGGTTATTGTGTTTACTTTGACTAATGCGGATCCCCATTGTGTGTGAGAGAGCTTGGTCTTTATTAATCAGAGGGGTGCGTTCACAGCAGAGCGGAGATGAGCGGCCGCGTAGGTGGGGCCAGGTGGTCTTCGGCAAGGCGGGATGACGTACCTGATCACCTGTTAATGAACGGTGTTAATGAACATTTTAATCATCGCCCACAGGTTAAACAGGGACCTCATAACTCTCGGCTCAAGTCGTGTCCGTTATTGCACAGCTGTCGTGCCTGAAGATAGAGAGGCCAGGCAGGTGTACACCAGATACCTCGGTGGGAGCACCTGGACAGCGATGGCTTCTATTGCCTGTGGTTATTTTTCATTTACTGTCAAGCCATCCTCTGACATCTCCACAGATGCTCCCCTCCGGCGACAGAGCGGGCGCTCTGGTTCTTGGCTATGGTGGACCTCGAGATTTCCACTGACAGTCAGAGTGTGATGCCGGCACTAATTTGAGATTCGGATCCTGTCGTGCTACG